TTGGGATTTACATCAAATTAATGATATAAAGGAAAATAGGTCGTTAGTTTAAAACGATGACATAGAATTGCTGATATTTTAAAATTTTATTTGGTTGAGTGAATTGACAATGTACTTTATAATAAGGTTATTATATTGTACTATGTACCTAGTACAATGCAATAACCCTATTTAAATAATAGATATGTTATCTTCAATGATAAAAATTGCATCAGTAGCGTAGCGTGGTAGAGCCTTTATTAAAAAAAATCAGCAAAACCATCAAAACGTCAATACCATTTTGGTTTATGACGAGGTTAAAATGTTTATTCTATAAAACTTCTTTATTGGGTTATGAACCATGCGGCCTCCCCTCTTCGATAGAATGGACCGGTCGGTATACTGATGACGGAAAGTTTATATCTGTGTAGCAAACTATATATGATTCTTATTCGAAATTTTATCTTAAAGGCTACTTTTTAGGTCGATTTTAAGTAGTGTTTGGGTTAAGGTACCAGTTTTAGTACCTTAATAGCTACTGGTACCATGGTGGTACCAAAAATCTTCAAGTTACAGTTATTAAATAGTTTTGTAATGTACCTAATATTTTTATAAGTTATAAGAGTTACTTAATGTCTATGTAGTGCTTTTATTTGAATACGTATAAAGGTTAGCTGGGCTGGTCTGCTAGTAACTTTAATCGATCCAGGGTTTGCACTTTTCGTCGCTTTCTGCTCAACACGTTTTCGTCTATTTCGTTAGTAAAGTAAAAACTATCCGTTCACTTCCAGCAAAACTATTTATTATTTGGTTAACCCAGGCAAATTTAAAACAATATTCACTTTGACCCTTATATCTAGTATAAACACCTACACTTTTTTAATATTAATTATATATTTAAGCCAACAGATATATCAATATCAGTAAAAAATTCCAATAAAATGAAAATACAAAATTTTAGTAAGATATACAGAGGTATAATGTTTAGTTTTCAAATTGAAAATCTACGTTCAAAATTCAATATAATATAGCATAATGTGCACAGCTGCCGTGCTACATCATATGGGCATTTTTTTAATTTTAAGAACCTCTTTAAAATTATTTTAAACTTTATGTTTTAAATTTGCCCCTTCTTACTTTTGCCAAAAAAATATGATCTACAAAATTTAATACAAATTGTATTTTTTTTAGTGAAATATTTAAAAAGAATAAACATTCAATAATACCTAACATAAAAATAAATTTTGCCAAGGGACAGAATAAACTGGATATAAATTTTATTTACCTTTTGAGATTTTCCAGCTATTTTTCTGTGTAGTACACACTGTGTACATAATCGAATATGCCATGATAAAGTCTTAAACATGGCAGAATAAGCATCATAAAGGCATTACTAAATAAAAAATAGTAATAATTTTGTTTCCTTGTCTTCTAGTGTTTAAAGGTTATACAAAATTAATAAGGGGACATTCATTAATTACGTGAGATAAAAATAGGGGGGTGGGGTCTAGCAAAATCCCACGTCAACTTTTGTGTTCAAAGAATAATTATTATAATTCAAATTTGTAAAAAAAAGTAATCAATTTTTGTTTTGGGTTTATCATGTTGTCCGCAATGAAAGTTTAATGGCTGTAATCTCACGTGAGGGATAGGGGGGTCTACCACATCTCACCAAATCTCACCAAGGGGGAGGGAGGGGTCCAAATTATCAGAAAAATGCCTCACGTAATTAATGGATGTCCCCTAACGTTAAAATAGTTCTCGCGAAAGTGACAAATTATAATTTTTTAACATGTATGTAATTGCGTTCACTACATAATGGAAATACCTCCTCTTTTGTTGCTCGAGTTTAGAAACGAATTTTTTTAATAATTTATGGAAAGAACGCTTGTGTAGGAGTGTTATTTCCCACAGATTTTCCATAGATTATTTCAAAAATTTGTCTCCAAACTCAAGAAACAAAATAGGTTCATCATTAATAGCTGAAACATTTATTATTGGTTTATTTTTCATCAAAATTTCATGAGCGACCTCGTATGATACAAAATACACTGTGGGGTATGAAAATTTATTTTCTTGGAATATGTGCTGTAAAATACTTGTGGATATGTCTGATGCCTCACAAAATCGTATATTAAATTTTAAAGACATTCTATGGACTCCCTTCAAATGAAGTTAATTGTTCAAACGTTGAGCTCAGCACTTCTTGGCCTAATGAAATAAATTACTATTACCAGTCACAGTTGGATTCTAAAAGATTAAACAAAGTGGTACAAAATCTGGTTTTGGTGAGCGAGTTTTTTTGAAAGGGAGTAGCAATATAGGACTCTTTTTAAAATCAAATTATATATTATATAACTCAAATTCATAACACAACTATTTTTTATTATTAAATTAACACATCAAAGAGTCATTTTGAAGGGTACATAAGCCAGAAATTTTACACATAAATTATAAAAAAAGCTAGTTAACAAGAGCATTTTTGATGCATTTAAACCGATTTAACATATTGGCCCACAACACAACATATATCTTGGGCCTACAACATCTCTTTCTTTTAACATGGTGGCGTTTAACGTGTTAATTACAAAAATAAAAGCTGAATTAGCAAAACCAATGTATTTTCATTAAATGATTATAATAATTATTTAAAAAAACCAACGTGGGTGAAGAAATCGGGTTGAGCTTATTAGAATTATAAAAATACTCAAATAAAACTTTAGGTTTTTTACAAACGTACTTTAAAATTAACAGATGAATTGTCCATTTCTTAAAGTATACCTTGATCTTAAGGTAGTAAAATATCTACATGAAGTGTTTTTTTAGTTTGCTTAAGAAAACATTCTATTTTTGCTAGTTCAATATTTTAAATTACATTGAAATAAAAATGTTATACCTATCTAAATACCCCTTTCTTAAAAAATAATACCATTTTTCCATATTTAAGAGCATATTTAAAGTTTTTATCAAATTGTTCGGAACAAATGACTGCTATAACGAGTCTTCAAAAAGAGCTTAGAGCGCTAAAAATCCAGACGTGGAAAAACATACATAATACGGAACGAAGTTGCAGGGGCAAGGAAGTAGGAAGATCACTCCCGGTGAAGAAAATATGAGATAGGAAATAAACCAGTAAAAGGGAATTTTCAAAGGGAGTCGGCTGCGGAATTCTAACGCACGCGCATCCATCGAATGTCGCGGTCTCGGCCAACTTGATATCGAGTTCTTGCTCTCGTTCGTGCTGGTACCCACTTTGATTTGGCTCTTTGCTAAATCAGAAAATGCTTGAATAAAGTATTATCCAATTTGGAAAGCGTTTTTTTTGAAAATACGGGGGCAAGTCCAAGAAGTCGAACTTCATTGTCTGTGAGTATTTTAATTAAGGAAGCGGATGTTAAGTTCTACTTGAAACTCGATGGTGCCAAAACATGGTTACCAAATAATTTGTATTTAAAAAATATCTAATTACATTAATTTAGAAGTGTATGGTATAGGTACTGCGCGGAAATTACGTAAACATGTTTTTATTGTAGAAGTATTCTAAAATACAATAATATATACAATAATTAAGAATCATACTTATTCCAGCAAACCTTAACTGTACATTAGATAAATGTCGGATCTAGAAATATAATTAATATTAATAATATCCATTTATACATTCTAAAACGGGTTTCCAGAATACTAATTATAGGGTAAATCAAAACCTTAATGTCGAAATTTTCGAAAAGCCATTGGGTTTTATGGTTTGCTTCTCCCTTCTCCAAAATGGACGGAAATAATTTCGAGTCCTGTTTTTGCGCGTCCTCCATTCCTAACCGGGGTTATCGACCTCGCCAGAGTTGTTCATTCGTTTAGCGGACAGCGTTCATGCTTTAGACATTTAGACATTTTAACAAGATGACGAAATCTACTTTTGGAAATGTTTATAATATTGATTTGGTGTTTAAAACGTTAAATACTTTCCTTAGGGTATTTTTATTTTAGGTTTATTTTAAACATTTTATATAAATAAAACGATAGCCCAAAAATAGAATGCTCTATGGTGAAGCAAAATTCTAATCCTAATCTATGGAGATATAATCACATGTCCTATGCAAACCTGTTTTAATGATAATACGTTTATAGGGCTCATAAGTTATGAGTCATAACATTTATTTTATAGTTGTAATATGTCAAATTGACAAAAAATTGTTGCCACAGAACCCAGGTCAATATAAGTATCCAAATATAAAAACAATCAAATCATTAGGTTAGCATTCCAAAAATACAAATTCATTTGACCTTGATTTAAATAAATTAATAAAATAATAAAAAAACAAGTACATATAGGTACATTTATGTTTATTTTATTTAAATATGATAAATTTACTAGAGCTACTGCTAAACGACATCAAACGTGAAAAAATACATTAGTTAATTTTATCTGGGAGTAAAATTCTTTTGGATTCCCCAGAAAATAGCTGATCAGTAGCGCGTGCGCGTTGCCTGTAATGCTACGCTTGTATTATTTATTTATTTTAAAGGCTGCACTATAAAAGCGTTCCATTTTGAAGTTTATACAACTTTTTAAAGATTAATAAAAAGTTCCTTTCATCCAGACTCTGGATTCCAGAGCAAGTATAGCTATTACGTTGATCTTTTTTAATTGGATAAATGTCATTTGGTTTATAATAATTATGACATTTGAAATGACGTGAAGCAGTAATTGAAAAAATAGGGAACGAAGCAAGATATTTTGTCATATTAGAGCCTAGAATGCAGACGCTAGATTAAGAAAGTGTGTTTACGCTTGACCTCGGTCTTGTCCCACTTGGTCTAATCTCGACTGTATTACACGAGTGCATAAGGCGTTTTTCCTATATTATCTGTAACTGAACGTACAAAATGGATGCAGGAGACGCAAATCTGGGTTCGTATAAAAAGTATAAGTATACCGTATGCATTTAAAAGTTTACCATATCAATGGAGAGTTTTCCGAAAAGTAAATGGGAGAATTTGAAAATAGGAAGGGGTAGACAAAACTTCCAAAGACTAATACGAAATTTCTACGGTTCGACGCATGCGTGGCCCACAACCGCTATGACGTTAACTCACCAGGTTATAACAGTAGAGTTTGGTCGACATGTTTTATATTTTATTCCTTAAATTTGTGCAGATTTAGCGTTGGTTTAGCGGGTATATTTAGACAAAATTAAGTGCATTACGTGTACGGGGGCATGTCCAAATGTTTACGCGTGTGATACATGCATAGAATTAATACTATTATTTCTATGGATACAGGTAGAGGTACTAACTTGACACTTTATTTATAAAAATAAACTAGGGTTATGTTAATGTTATGTTATGTTAATGCTTATAACGTCATTATTATTATTAGTATTATTAAGTTTAATTTAATAAACAAACTAACAAACTAATGTTGTTTGTAAACCTTTTTTAATTGATTGGGGGTTATCTAAGAAAGAATATTTACAGAATTAAATATATTTTTATCATTCTAGAACGGGTTTTTAACATTCTTTGACATTTTAAATAAGTTTTGAACCTTTTTATTGTTTTTAATGTTTTAATCCTAATTTTTCCACTTTTTTTAGAACAATTTTATGTTAAACTGCGTTTTTGTAAAAAAAACTAGTGGTATAGAATCAAAAGCTAGTAAAAATAATAGTGTATTATATACCAGGCGAAGAAAGTTCATAGCCGAGCATACATTTCACAGTAGATTGTGTGCAAGGAAATTAATAAGCTCTCGCCGCCGGGTTTTAGGTTAGGTTCAACTGACGTAATGACGTTTTGGCTTTTTGTACGAAGGTTTATAATAATTTAACTTTTAAACTAGTATTAAAATTATGTTTTTCTTTGAAGACTTATAAGTGTTATAAAAATTATTCAACGTTTGCAAAAAAAAAGTAAATTCAAATTTTTTTATCGTATCGTACCTACATTGCTCCAAAACAAAAAGTTCCACTTTCACGTTTGAATAAAGAATTCAGTCAAATAATTAAGGTTATGTATATGTCAGTTTAACGCTAATTTAGTATTATTTTCTGAATATAATACAATGTACGTATGTATTTTTTTGGGTATAATAGTATGTTTTAGACCAGGCGGAGAAAGCACTTATTATAGCCGAGCATATATTTCACTACCGACTTTCGCCGCTAGGTTTTATATTCTATTTTTTCAAGCATTAAATAATTTCGATTCTGTTACATCATTTTAAGGTTAGGTTTAAGTGACATAATGATATTTTAGCTTTATATCTGTACGAAGTTTAATAATAATTTGACTTTTAAACTAGTATTATTATAAACACTTTCTATTTAGACTTATAAATATATAAAAATATGAATATGAAAATTATTTTACGCTTGAAAAAAAGTATTAATTTATTACAACTTGGCAAAGCTCGACGCCTGTGGGCGTAGCCGATGTCACTTGTTTAAAATTACGTCAACTGAGCATAGGGCCTTCTCGCCAATTTATAACGCGCGGGCTGTATCTGTACATTAGAGCCAGACTAGGGTGTAAACTTTAAATTAAATTCATAACCTCAATTATTTGACTGCATTCCCTGTCTATGCTGCATTCCTTATTCAAATGTCAAAGTGAGACATGATTATTTGGTTGGAAAATCGTTAAAACTCTAGATCTATGGTTAAAACCGTATAAAAATATCATCTTTGGGTTTTATGTTGGAGTTTTTTCAGACTTTTTTACATAAATAATACAGCAATCCTTTGAGATATGTTAGGATATCCATAAGTATATGTATATTAGACTGGTTCAAAAAAATCGAATATTTTTTTTCTTCAAAGCCCGCATTAAAATATCTTCCTAGTAGTAAAAAAAGAAGCCTGTGAAAATTGTAGCTCTTAATATTAATATTTAGAGGTCGCTCATCGTGAATTTCTATTTTACGTTTAAATAACACAGGAATTCTTTTTTCTTAACTTTGAAATTTTATAACTCGTTTTTGAGTAAACGTATTGGAATGACCTCTATATATTTTTGAAGAAAATTGAACGTTCTACAAAAAATGTCTCTTATAATTTTTTCGTAAATTCACTCCTTTAATAGTTAGTCAAGGTTGAAATTATTCCAATATGTCCACTCAAAAAAAAAGTTATAAAATTAAAAGTTAAAAAAAATTCCTGTGTTATTTAAACGTTACATTTATTATATGTCTAATTTCAACCTTGAATAACTATTAAAGGAGTGAATTTACAAAAAAATTATAATAGACATTTTTTGTAGAACGTTCAATTTTCTTCAAAAATATATAGAGTTCATTCCAATATGTTCACTCAAAAACGAGTTATAAAATTTCAAAGTTAAGAAAAAAGAATTCCTGTGTTATTTAAACGTAAAATAGAAATTCAAGATGAGTGACCTCTAAATATTAATATTAAGAGCTACAATTTTCACAGGCTTCTTTTTTCACTACTAGGAAGATATTTCAATGCGGGCTTTGAAGAAAAAAAATATTCGATTTTTTTGAACCAGTCTAATGTATATGTTAGGAAAACTTTTTTTTGTAATTATTAATATAAATATATTTGTATATATATAAATATATTTAAACCTATTTTAACTTTTTTGTAGGTATATGTCATATTTTACAAAGTAAATACCTATTTAGAAAATTAATTTAAAAATGTAATAGGAGCGTGCGTAATATACTAATTTAAAACTATTATAAAAGAAATAACTTGAACTTAACTAAAATAATTTTATTACAGATATGTCATCAATTGGAACTGCACCAAAAGAAATGGCAACTCTTACAGAATCTATTAAACTATACGATAAACTCCCCACCAGAGAAGATGATGAAAAAAGTTCAGATGAAGAAAGTTTTCATTTACCAATCGATGATGAAGAGGCAGAAAGTAAACTAAAAAATAATAATTAATTTTATAAATATTTACCTAATAAACTTTTTGTTATTTTTCAGAACGAGATATAACATTAAATGGAAAAGATGAGAGCGAAGATGATATATTAGATAAATTTGAAGATGCCAACGGACCCGAAATCGATCCACAATTAGAAGAAAGTTTACTTGAGGAGACAGATGAAGCAACCAAACCTAATATAGAAAATACTGAAAAAACGTCCACAAAAAAAGAAGAAAATAGTGAAACAAGTAGTGAAAGTGTTAGTAAATTAGTGTCAAATGAAACAACTGCACAAAATTGCGATGATACAAAATCTGATGATTATGTTAACGAAGAAAATAAAGAATGCAGTGATAACAAAAAAGAGGAAGATTTAAAAAAAAATGAAACTTTTGAAAAGGATACAATTATTGCAAAAAATACCATTGTTGAAAAAGATACAGTTCCTGAAATAGACACGATTGTTGAAAAAGATGCAAATGTTGAGAAAGATACAATTATTGAAGAGGTTAATAAAACAGGCTTAAAAGAAAATGATGAAAATGTAAGTGAAATAAAGGAATGCGTCGACAACGAAGTTATTGACAAAGAAGTTTTACTGAATACAGAAAAAAAAGAAGAACAAGAGGAGAAAATGGAATGCAACAAAGTAAATGGTGATAAGAATATAGAAACAGAAGATACACAAGGAGTTGAGGACACAAAAAAGACTGATGAAGAAAGTAAAGAATCGAGCATTCAAGATGTAGAAAAGCCAGAAAAGACTGAGGAATCTAGTGAAAAAGTCGAAACTATGGTTGCCGAATCTGAAAAATGTGAAAATTCGAACGATTCTTCGAAAAGCACCAACTCAGAATCTGATTTGCTGGACATTTCCATAATAAGGGACGTTGAAGAAGACGATGCAAATGCACGAGAGGAGCACGCTAAGGACGTTGAACTTACAGATAAAGTCGAAAATGAGGAAGAGGAAAGTTGCGACAAGGTTTCGGAATCTGATGTGGACAATGAACATCAAGAAGTTTTGGAGAAAGAAGAGCAAATGGAGTTCGATGAGGAATCCTCTAGCAAAGAGGATGAAACTAGTGTAATTGAAAGTGAAGTAAAACAGCCAGAAGATATAGTTGAACCGGCTGAAGAGGCAGATAAAGCAATTTCAGAAACAGAGAAAACTAGTACAATTAAAGATGTAAGTGTTAATATAAATGGTGAAGCTATGGAGGAGAGTCCAATAGAAGAAAATTTGGAGGATAAGGATGAAGCTAAGGAAAAAGAAGTTGAAAATGAAAGTATTGACAACGAATTGGCTAGTAAAGGTAAGTTAATACTTACTAAAAATGTGCGATTTTGTTTTATTTTTTTTTTCAATTTAAGATAAAACCGCCGAACCTGCCGTAAAATCTGGAAAACGGTCGTTATCTGAGGCAGATAGCGAAATAGCAAATAAAAAAATAAAATTAGCCGAAAGTGAAAAAGAACTTATAGCTCCCGTTGATATTGAAAGCGAAAAGCCACTTCCTCCGGAAGAACCCAGTATTCTTTCATCGTTTGCTTCCTTTATGAAAAACAAAAAAGTAAGCACAAAATTGACCCGCTCTGACTTGGAACAATTTTGTCTGCAGAAAATTTGCGAGGCAATAATTCACAAAACCGATGTCGGGGAATTGCATCAAAAAATTAAACAATACGAAGGCACAATAGATCAATTGAGAAAAGACGTTACGCAGTTAACTAAACAGGCTAGAGATTTAGAAATAGTGAATAAAAAATTGATGAACGAATTAAAAGTACAGAACGGGAACAAAAAACCTTTGGTGCCGTTAAAAATTACGCGGTCCGTTGGATTGCAAGTTAAGTTAAATTTTCCTCCTGATAACCCGAGAAAGAGACTTAGTACCAATAACTCGCCACAGAAACCTGGAAATGTCACGCCCGGACCTGCAACTAGAGTTATTAGAGCTAATCAACCCAACGTGAGACAGGTATGTCATGTGTTTTTAATTTTTTAAGATTGCCCAATAAAAATTGTACGTTTTGTAGGTGGGTAGTCCTCAAAAAACAATGTTGTCAAAAGCTTTGCAACCCCGTAGGCCAGGCGTTGTTACGCCAGTTACTCAAAAGCAGCAGCCGCAAAAACGACCGGGACCCCAGCCAAGAAATAAAATAAACGAATCAAAATCCGCCTCGGTCATCGACTTGACAGACGAGGATGGACCTAAAAAATCCGGCAGACTTATGCCTCTCAGCCAAATGAAAACGGTCACAGTTTCGCAAAACAAAACCATCCCCGTGGGAAACAACAAGACTATCACTGTCAATCAGACGAAAACGATACCGTTAAATCAACAAAAAAGTTCCAACGTTAGAACCACGATACCTCAGGGTATGAGGTTAACGCCCACGCAGCTCAAAAACGGTAATATCACGTTACCTGGCGTGGTGACTTCGAGCGCCCCCTTGATGTATGTGGTGCAACCAACGTCTTCGCTGAATCAGGGAATCATGACCACAACGGCGGGAGGCACTCAAAAAGCCGTAATAGTCAACTTCCAACCCACAAACGGAGTTCTAAGTAAGTGGACATTTTTATTTATAAGGACATTTTACAGTCGTGTCAAGACTTACGACACTATGGTAAAGTTGAATTTTACCGTCTCCATACTATGGAGTCCATAGGCCTTAAATAGGCAAGAAAGTAGGTGTTTTATGGCTAGCCTTTCAAAAACAATTACAAATGACTTTAGGATTGTAATTAACTTTTTTGGTTCAAACAAAAGCTTTGTTCTTCCTATAAAAAATCGGCATAACAAAATCTAATGTTGGCAAATAATAAATTAATATAAAATTACCTTTAGTGTAGATTTATGCAGAAAGTTACATCGAACTGTATGTATACATATACCTATAGGTCCGATAAAGCTCGCCTGGAAAAATGTCACTTTACCGACTAGGTCTACTTAAGTTAGATATAATGTGGTTGGGACAATGTCCTATCGTCAAAAATCCGTGTGAGAGCCCTATTAAAAATGCCCTATAATTTCATTTTAAAATGTACAACTTAGGGATTTTTATATGGATTTATCTGGTTTTTGTTTTATGTGTCTTTCCATATAGGTTTCCCTATATGGTTGAATATGGAATTCCATTTTAAAATGTATATATATTTAAACGAAAATTGCATATTAAACCATATAGATTCCCCTATATGGTTAAATATGGATCTATTATAGATCATCTATATGGTAATACTATATAGATCATCTATATGGTAATACTATATAGATCATCTATATGGTAATACTTTTTTCATACCCAAACCATATTGGGCCAGATAGAGCTCCAATATGGTACAATCTGAACCTATATGGCAATCCATATAGAAATCACTTTTCTATATGGTTTTCCATGTACCTATGGAATTCTATCTGGTTCAATAGTGCAATGCCTGTTTAAAATTCCTATACCAGATAGAACCATATAAATTTTTATTTTGTGTTTCTATATGGCATTTTTAATAGGGAGATAAAAGTATTATTATACAGATTAGTCACTAAAACAACTATATTGTTACATTAAACTATTTTTAAACGGTATGGTTGTTTTTAGTGACTAATCTCTATAATAAAGGTGGTCTTACACAGATTGTTTATATTTTGCCTAAATTAATATTCTTAATTTAAGGGGTAAGTAATTAAAGTTAATAAAGGGGATAAGTAACATTTTAAATAATAAAGGAAAAAAATACAGTAATTGTGATACAAAAATTATTTTTATTTATAATTCCAATATTAACATTCTTAAGGTGTCTCAAATAAAACTTAAAAAAGTTAAAGTTGTCAAAAAATAAAATTAAAGTTTTCAAAAAATAAAATAAAAAAATTGACGTTTTGAATAACATTATCTGCTGGCATGAGTTATACGAATACAGGTGGTTTTAAGAAAATGTTGCAAGGAATGTTTTTTCTAAATTAATTTATTTTATTTTTTGACAATTTTTAAGAATAAACATTTTTAAGAAACTCTATCTATTAGATTCTTGCGATGGTTGTTGTTGGATTATCTTTGGTTGTATCTACTTAAAGACATTCCTAAGAATTATCCCATTTCACTATGAGACAAATTTGGGGTGACCAATTTTTAACCGGATTTCACTGATTTTTCCTCAAAGAATAACTGTTTAATAATAAAACCCTTACTGGGTCTGTCAAGCCTTATTTATAGAGTGCCTTCCTTCCTTACTCCCGTAAAAGATGAACAATACGAAAACCGTAGTGCTGTTTATAGATTCTCGTACGGTAATCTATAAACAGCACTTTTCGTATTGTTCATCTTTCACGGGAGGAAGGGAGGAAATCTATATTTTATTTTTTGGTAATTTATTGTAAATTGATATACGTCAAATTTTGCTTACAAATGTTTTATTTGGAAAAGTAGTTTCTCGTTGCGTATACATACTTACATAAAGATGATTTTAAACATTGTTTACATATTTGGATTTAAATTTTAAAGGCAAATAACCCCGAAAAACGATGTGAAAAAATTTAACCTCAAAAACCAAAACAATTATCTGTCGCATTATTTTTACAAAATTAAATAATATGTAATTCGTGAAGAATAGTCGATTATAAACTCGCATTCTTGTCACGCTCGCGTGCCAAACCAATGCTCGATCGTTTATAATTGAATATTTTCTTGTTGCACAAAAAAGATGTGTTGCACTGTGTTATTGTTAAAAAACTCAATTATCATAATTCTTACAAAAAATGACGATTTTTTAGCATCAACATTAAACGGCTCCGCAGTATCTGTGATACCGACCAAAACTGCCAACACTGTACAGCTAAAAACCCACAACCCAAGAAAACACCCGGCGCCACTGCCGATGGCTCCGGTTCGGGTGGCGGGTTCGATGGACCTTAAGCCGATTCCGCCTAAACCACACTTAAGTATACGAAAAACCGACACCGGCATAATGTTGCAATGGAAGATGCCCTACAGTCTGGACAATTATGAGACCATAGCCAGTTATCAGTTGTACGCCTACCAGGAAACCAATTCACCTCCAAGTACTGACATGTGGAGAAGGGTGGGGGATGTAAAGGCTTTAGCCCTGCCAATGGCCTGCACCCTGGTGCAGTTTGCCGATAAAAATAAGTACTATTTTGCCGTAAGGTCAGTGGATGTGCACAAAAGAATAGGCCCTTTTAGCGATCCAGAAGAAATTTCATTGTAAATTGTGTAAATTGCATGTTTATTAGTTTATTATTTAAGAACAACTTTTTTAATTTATAAATATATTAATGAATTCAATAAAATAAATCCTAGAAACATTACATAATTGTTTATTTATACTTGGGTATAATTCAAAATTTACTACATTACTACCTACAATTATGATTGATCCTAAAAAGATAGCAACCATAATATTATTTTGTATAAACAATTTTACTATTAAAGTAATAATACTTTTGAGCATTACACCAGTAATCAGAAAAACAGTAAATACAGGGTGGTCCAGGATTAATCTGAAAAATTTTAATGATCGATAGAGCCTGAAAAAACAATAAAAACAAACCCAAAAACATTTTTCAAAAATGCATACTAACGGAGATATAGTCCTTTAAAATAATTTTTAAACCATTAAACCGATTCTTCTCAAATTTTGTGTAGGTTAAGCTTCCGTCGATAATATAATGAACAAAAGGCCCAGTGGCGGAGATTTTGGAAGGGGTTTCCCCTTTTTACCCTCATATTTTCGACGCCACTGGATTTTATTAGAAAATCATCAGATTTATTTTTATCCTTTTTCAATCTAAAAGCAAAACTTATGTTTATTTTTTATCAGATTAACGGAGATATTTCAGTTTAAAATTTCAAAAACACTTTGTACACGGAACTTTTGTTATTATTTTAGTAATAAAAAATTATTTTTTTTCTGAACGATTGTATTGGGCCAATAAAAATTTACCAATGAAATTATGGAATAATCACTTTCAATAGGGTAGTTTTTGGGTTGGTTTGATTTTGTATTATAATACAATTAAATTATTAATTACAGACGTTGATTGTAATCCTGAATCAACGTTACAATAAAACAACCTAAAAATATGACGGGATCAGTAACAACTGCACGATGACTCCTGGACGCTAGTTTATTTTTATAATATTTTATAAACTGATAACGTGGCATAATTGTTACCAAGTTACCGATTTAAAATAAAATATGATAAAATTCCGTGTACTCGGTGTTTTTGAAATTTTAAAGTCTCCGAAACCACTGATCTTATGAAAATTTAACACACAAGTTTTGCTTCTAAATTGAATAAGAAATCTGATGATTTTCCAATAAAATCCAGTGGTGTCGAAATATGGGGGTAAAAAGGGGAAACCCCCACAAAATATCCGCCGCAGGGCCTTTTGTAAGAAATTTTACCTAGGTACACAAAATTTGAGCATTTAAAAAAAAACGTTTTTTTGCCTTTGAAGGGCTATTAGTGTGTTAGTGTGTATTTTTAAAAAAATGTTTTTGGGTTTGTTTTTATTGTTTTTTCAGGCTCTATCGATCATTAAAATTTTTCAGATTAATCCTGGACCACCCTGTATAACTTAATTGACCTAGCCTAATAGTTTTTTTAATGTCAAAAGTAAAATTATTGTATATGATATTATATCATATACAATCATTTTATAATACATACTTTACATATTAAATTAGGGTGATTCGTTTTGAAGGAACATTTAATTTTGGTCACTCAAGCAATATATCGATGTACATTACAAGAAAAAAAATAATTAATCTCACTCCTAAGTACTTTTATTTTGATTTTAAAACTTTCCCATTGAAAGAACTGGAAATTAAGGATTTTTTTCAATTTTCTATAGCTTGGCGACTTTACGTTACTACAATTTACATAGTTGCGACTCTTTTAAATTAGTTGCAACAATTTTACTACCATTAATATGTTTAGAGCTGCATACGTCACCAGTCATATTTTTAATAAAAAAAACTGTATTTTTGCATTTTAAGGCAAAATGGTTAAAGTTACATGTAAAAAGTTAATAATATTTTTATAGGAAATTCAGTTTCCTATAAAAAAGGTCCTTTGCAATCGTGAAATCATTTGTATAATTTAAAATATCATTTAATAAATTTTAGTGTCAAATAAGTACAAACTAATTAGTCCTATGTTGTTTAACGGCAAAACGGTTAAAGTTACAGGTAAAGTGTAAAAAAAAATTCAATAGAAAATTTTACATTTATTAAATGCTCTATATGTTTTAAACTATGCATTCTACTGAATTAATGCATATAATCTTTTTTATAGAAAATTTTTATTTAACCGTTTTGCCGTAATAGGCAATACTGTTTTTTTAATAAAAATATGACTTTATTAACTTATAGGTACAGGTAAAAAATATAGGTTGTATAAAAATTGTTGCAAGTACTTTTGAAGAGCATCTAATTAGGTATGTACAAATCGCACCTATGTAAATTGTAGCGTAAAATACCGCCAAACTATAGGAAATTGAAAAAAATCTATAATTTTATGTTATTTTAATGGGAAAACTTTAAAAACAAAATTACTTAGGAGTAAGATTAAGGGCATTTTGTTCTCAATACGTACATCAACATTTTGCTTGGGGAGCGACAAAAAATAAATGTTCCTTTAAAACGAATCACCCTAATATTACATACCATACAGTATATCTGAAAACTGGTTGATATAATAAATAACTATTAAATAAAATAAAATCCATCACAGTGTAATTTACCATTACATCATCACATAATTCTTAAATATTGACAGAATTAATTAACATTGCGTAGAATTACATTCTGATAAAAATTTAAATACTTTTTTAAAAAAAATCCTTTAGTACTTATAATATATAAATACATGATAAATAAAATTTATTTGACAGAATGTTATATTGCTTTGGAAATCAGTTTGGCTCAATTTAGTTCTTTGATTTTTTTCGAGTTTCTTTTATGGCTTCTAAAACGAAGTTGCTGAAAAAATGTTTCTTAATTTAATGTTTACAAAAAATAAAATAAAATTTCTCACCTAATAATATTTGGGAGTCTCTCATCTTTGTATATGTATTTATGTCCATAGTGTAAATTTTCCTCAAAGCTTTTAAATTGAATTGAACCATCTTTTTCTGATTTACATTTTAAAGCTGCCTCATATAACTGAAAATATATTTTGTTAATTTACTTTTTGTTAAAAAAAATATTCCTACTTTATATCCTAATCTATATGGCACTACATTGTCATCTTCAGCATGAAGAATAATAATCGGTAAATCAACGTGGCAAATATGAACGTCTGTTTTGAATAAAAAGTTATTTTCTTGCATGGGATCCACTACAGTAAATGCAAACCAAGGCAAATGTTTAAACCACTAAAAATAATACAAATAAAGCAATAATTGGTACAAAATAGTAATATTTTTACCCTGGTCAAAGGAAACTCGCTTATTTCCTCCCTCATATTATTAAATGGACTTTCAAGTATTAAACCAGTCACCCTAGTTCCTGAGGTTTGAAGCCTGGCCAAAGCCTGGGTGGAAAGACTTGTGCCCAGAGAATGACCCCATACAAAAACATGTCCTTTTGCTTTAGATTTTACCCATTTAATCATGTACATTATGTCTTGAACAACATTGTCCTCTGATAATTCTCTATCTGACGAATCTCCATAATCTAAAAAAATATTTGAGTGAAATTATTATTTACATAATATTATTAACATTATTTACATAATTTTTACTTTATTGTTAAAATAAAGATACCTTAACGCTAAAACGCCTTAACAAAAGTTTGTTAATAAAAGAGATATAAATCTCAATCAACGTAAAAATTATGGCTTATCGCGCTAACAACATGCTGTTTATTTCTTTAAGCTCTAATAACTTTCTTTTACTGTGATTATTAACCTCTTAAAAATAAAATCACAAGAATATATATATATTAGGGTGACTCATTTCCGCAAAGTTTTTGTTTTTTTCGGTGCTCAAGCAATATAGAAAAAAAATTCTCACCAAGTTTGAGTTCTTAATATCAATTTTAAGTACTTACTATTTAAATTTAAAGTTTTACCGATTAAAATGCATGTAAAAAATATATATTTTTTTTCAAATTTCTAATGCTTACCCACCTTTGACAATATTGCAAATCGGTTTAATACACCTTGTATTTCACGGTCTTCAAAATTGCTTTTGAGTTTTTTACTCGCATTGGTTTACCAGTAGGAGTCGTTTAAGGTGGGTAAGCATTAGAAATTTGAAAAAAAAATATATTTTTTACATGCATTTTAAACGGTCAAATTTTAATTTTAAATAGTAAGTACTTAAAATTTATATTAAGAGCTCAAACTTGGTGAGAATTTTTTTTCTATACGCAGATTAATATTTTGCTTGAGCACCGAAAAAAACAAAAACTTTGCGGAAATGAATCACCCTAATATATATCTTAAGTTTTTAGTATTGTATAGCCTGATCTTTCTACCATAATTAAAAACAGTTGATTTAAAACGATATTTTTTATTTTTAAGAAAAATATTTTCTGTTCATGATTTAATGTTTTTCTTTCAATATTTTCAAGCAAAATAATGATTTTTCAAAAAAAATTAAACGCACTTTCTTTAAAAACACCAAAAAATTTTTAAATACGTATCTTTAACCATCCTTAAGAAAATGAAATTTGCTTTCATTGAGAATTTTAAAAACATAAATATGTTGGTGTTTTTAAAATGAAAAAATTCTTTGGAAAATATTTCCGAAAATTCCAATTTTAGAGAAAAATTTCATTTTTCAATAAATCAAAAAGTTGTTTTCGTTTTTAATAAAAAAGTTTTACGTTCATTGATAAAGGGCAAACTAACAAGAACATACAAATTCTTAATGTAACTCGATTTTTCAACAAAACTAATAATAATAATAAATCAATTATATGTAGGTACTGTGAATAATGGTGCCAATTGTAAATTCAAATTTGTAAACAATGTAAACATATTATAGTTGCCCAACAATGCATCCATTATACTAGGTGCAAAAAAAATAAAACGAAAAAATGCTTAATTGCTTTGTATTGTACAAGGTTCCGTTTCAAACTCTTCAAATTTTTAGCTCCACTTACTTCTGTAATCGTATGCGATAACATGGAACTGTTGCCTTAAAACTTTATAAAGCTGAATCCGGTGATCGGTGAGTCTGCATCCTCCGTTGCCATGGTTATAGATGATGACGTTCTTCCCGTCCGACAGAAGATTTTGGAACTGTTCATCGTCGAACGAACTGTTTTCGTAGTTGCCGACTTCCTGTTCTGGAAGCAGCTGCCAAACGCCCAATTTGACGTCATCGTCCGTGGTGACGTAGTAGTTGCGAGTGCCCTCCAGGCCGTATTTGGCAGGGTGATGATAGTCGGGATTTAAGGGAATGTTCTCTGCAAAATATAGTTTTTGTTTTATTTAATTGATTTCAATAAGATTAATATTACTCACTGAAGTTTAGGAATACGGCAGCTCTTTGTAAGGAATAACAGAATTTGTATGTCAATGGGAAACAAATGAAGATGAGGAAAAAGAATAATAGTATTAGTTGAAAGGCGGCAAATGAAACTCTGAAACAAAAAAAAAATAGTTAGTTTTATTATAATAATTTTGTATAACATCAAAGTGTTTTCTTTAAAAAAGCTGTTATTTATTATTTCTGCCCCATGACGGTTTTATCTACATATTTCTTTAGTATTAGTGTCGTAATCAGAGTTGCATATGTTGAGCACACGACTAAAAAAATTTTACTCCCGCTATTATAGAGTGTGTGCGTATAGCTTGACCAATGCAAGAAACGTAAACTTTCTGCCGTGAAATCGGGGACGAAACAACGTATTCTCAGTCGAGGTAGTAAGAAAAAGATATTTTTATTAGTATTAAGTAGTACCTAGTATTAAGGTGCTCACTCATAATAGCATCACTATAGCACACAATGTCACAAAGTCTTGACCCCCACTAAACGTGTGACGTACCTACTTTATGGACGACCACTAGTGTACAGCTAGCATAGCTAAGTTACAAACAAAATCGTCCTAAACCACACATAGTAAATACAAATGGTTTAAGGGGGTTTGGGACCATAAGCATAAGCATAAAATGCTTACTGCCAACATTTTAAGTTTATTTTCCACACGACTTTTGAGAAATAAATTGTTTAAATTTGCTTTTGTATATATATTTTTATTATTAATTAATTAATCAAGAGGTAAAATATCTTAAAATTGTTAAAAATTTGAATTTATTAAGCACTAAAAATTTCATAACATTAAGAATATTTCTATAACAGTACTGTTTGTATACGTGTTTACATGGGAGTAGGATTTTAAAGTGTCGGGAAAAAACGGCCTTGGAAAAATTGTCTTTTTTGGGAAAAATTGATTTTTTTCTGAAAATATACAAAGCAATCAAAAACTTAACATTATTAAAAAAAATAAGGATAATAAAGTAAAAAAAAAAAAACGCCGGTGGACTAGTGGTTAGTGCTGCTGACTATAAGCCGGAGGTCGTGGGTTCGAATCCCACCAGGGGTATGGCTGTTTATTTGTGTTTGTCCCATTGTGTAATAGTCCTTCGGAGGGGACTTTAAGCCCGCGGTCCGTTCCTACCCCTAACTTCTTAGGAAGTAAGGGTGGAACTAAAAGAGCACTTTTAACTAAACATTAAATTTAATTGATTTAAGAAAATAAACGTAAACGTTATACCTACTTTTGGTTGGGTCTTAAAATCGGGAAAAAGTGAGGTTATAATAAATTTTGTTATCAATGAAAATTACTTAATTGGAGTAGAAAAAGCATAGTATTACACTAGAAATAATGCGTATCAAAATTGTCAAAAATATTCTTATTTTATTAGTTTATAAATTAAATAAAGAAACGCAAGAAATATTTTATAAAAGTAGAGATAATGTTAATAATTGAAAGGTGTGGACGGGACAAAAAAAGATTGATCTTGTCCCGTCCACACCTGTGAATTATTGAAATTATCTCTACTTTTATAAAATATTTCTTGCGATTTTTTTAATTTAATGTATAGCCTAATAAAAGGAGAAATATTTGACAATTACCTACAATTTTTTTTTATAAAAACTTTTTTGTGATTTGTCCCGTTCATACCCTTGAAATGGCCGTTTAGTCAAATTTCTAAAAATCACATTTTTTACGGTCCCTTTAGATTCGAGATAGGGAAGTTTCACTGTAAAAGATTTGTATTGAATTAAAAAACAGAAGGAATTTTAATGTCTTATGAAATACTTTTAGGAATGTATGTCATTCCAGATTAAAAAGTGATATTATTATATTATTTATACGTATCATGTCAAAAGTCTGTGTATTTCAATAAATGCAATCACTATTTAAAAAATAATAACTTATGTTTACCTTTATACATTTTTTATGAAACTTGATATTTTCCTATTGATATAATAAAAATAAGTATTTCAAAATAAATTGAAGTTGGTTCTACAGTTTATTACAAAGCTAATATCGATACAGTTTACAATTAAATATTTTAATATGTGAACAGTTTTATATCATATAAATGACGGTGCATATTTACATAATTAATATATTATATTACTTTCATAATGCATTGTTATTCCAATTAAACCGAGTGGAAAATTAATATTACCGAAGGCATTTTTAATTAAAACTGTAAAATACATAATATCGATAAATTGAGGATTAACTGGCCAAAACGCATTAAATCCATTTTAACTATTTTTTGGTTGAATTAAAAAGTAACTTCTTTGTAATATATAAAAAAGAATAGTATTATGTATCAAGTTTTAGTTACGAGTTTTATTAGGCACGAGCGAAGCTTGCGAGCGAGTGTATAATAAAAACGAGTGTCTAGAGAAGTTTGTAAAACGAGTTGCATACTATACTTTATCTACGACGAACACAAAAAGAATTTAAAGTCAAATGTCAACATATTTAACTTTACTTTTCCTCAATTTATAATAAACGTGACTAAAATGCCCAAAAGCCAATATTGCTAACTTCAGCCCGTGACTACGCCATAAAGTCAGAGCTCGTCAATGTAGGAGTAAATAATAGTATATTATGTATCAAGTTTGATAAACGCCATTTTAGACACGAATTTAAATTAATGAGGTGCATACTATACTTTTTCTACGACAATACTTATTATTATCCTAAAATGATTTAAATCAAATATTTGTATAGAGCGCCATCTAAAACAATAGGGGATTCTGCGTAACCGTCAAATGTCAAATTGTTATGTGTTATAAATAAAGCCCGGATTTTAAGGCATTATGCTTATCGTTTAAATTACAAGCAAATATACGTAAATTAAACAAATAAATAAATTATATAAAAAAAATTAATAGACCATTCATTTATTATGCTTTTTTTGCTTTTTTTAAATGTTAATGCATATTTAAATTTTTATGCTTATTTAAACTTTTTTGAATATAATATTTGTTTTCATAATATATTATATAGTAAATACTCAGATTTTAATGTATAATTATTAATTAATAAACCAAAATATATATAAATTATCTTCTTTAGGTTTTAATTATAAGTAGGTTTAATTTTTCAGTGGCGGCATCTATGAGTTAAAGACTTAATTTAGTTAATAAAATTTGTACCACACTTTTGCGCCTTTGGGCCACCAAGAAGAAGAAGGAAAATGTTTTAAATTTCTTGTCATTGCAACATAAACTACAGAATAGCACTTAATACCATAGAAAAAGTATACTATTGAGTCAATAGACTGAAACAGTCGACTGTTTATTGTTTGTGGTGGTTTTGTTTAAAAAAGCCTACCGTAGACGAGTGGATAGTGGGTAAATTGTTTTGCCGGGCATGTGCAAAAATGGTAAGAAAAAGTTTATACTATACCCTGATAAAGCGTATACAAAATAAGACCATATATGTACCTCAAGGTTTGTAAAACCAATAAACAAAGCAATTTTCTATATAGGTAAAATTTGAGCTCAGAAATGAACTGTACCAAGTTCTCTTTTTAATAAAATTAATTTCTTTGACAAGAAGATACAGGGTGTTAAAGTCAACAAAAAATGTTTTTAAATATCTCAGAAACTAGTAGTTTCTGAGGTATTTAAAAACATACTTTTTTAAACTACCTACCAGGTCAATTTTTTTTTTTTAAATTTCAGGTTTTTAGTAATTGGTAAAGGGCTTAATTAAATGTAACTAGATTTAATTTAGGCAGCACTGGGGCTTCCCAAGTAAATATTAAAAAACATTGGGAAGGCTACTGCTTTTTTATGATTTTAATATTATTTTTATATTAAGTAATTAAAAATATCCCTATCTTAAAAAAATATAATATAATACAACATCTTAAGACAACCCTGCATAAGGAGTGTTTGAAAAAATTTACAAATAAGTCTAAACAATCGACAATTGGAGAATCGTTAGCATCTACTTCTGGACAGAATGAACAAAGGAAATTTTATTTTGACTTATGTAAAGCCATGGTTCAATCCAATATACCCTTAAATAAATAAAAAACACTAACTTTAAAACCTTTTTGGAAAAATACTATAAGCTGCATATACCGGAAGAAAGCACACTTCGAAGAAATTATCTCAGCTTAGTATACAACGAAACCATCCATGAAATCAAAGAATTAATTGGAAGTAACTATATTTGGTTTACAGTTGACGAAACCACTGATGCTTGTGGAAGATATATTGCAAATCTAATCATAGGAGTTCTTAATGAAGAGGTTCCAACCACGGGATATTTAATCTGTTCCAAGGAACTGGATGCCACAAATAACAACACAGTTTCGAGATTTATAAATGAAGCAGAGTCAAACCACGTCAAGTGGGACCAGAAAATTTCACGAAATCACCGATTTTGAAAATAATCACATTTTTGTGTAGTAGGCATGACTCATATGTCACAGTAAAAAAATTGTTTTAAAATTCGTTTTTTTGGTAATGTTATTAAGGTTGACAATTTTGTCAAACTTTAGAGCACGGTAAAATTGAAAAAATAGAATCTCTGGGACCACTCTGTATGATTGAATTAAATTTTACACACTGTTGTAGAAATGTTTAGAGTATATAATGATTATTTAATTAAGGTTAATTTGTTCAAATAAAAGAATTTTGCATACATTTATTATAAACAATTGAAATTTTGTATGTGTTCTTCACGCTGAAAAAAAATTAATCTTGTGTCATAATATGCGGCAAACGTTTCCGTTTAATAAGATGTATTCAAAAATTTGCCTTTCATATGTCATTCCGGAGATATTAATTTTTTTGTCCCGCTGTGCGCTTGATCAGTACGCAGCGCGCTTCGCTGCTAGCTCGTCCGTTCGAACGGTTTAACTGTGTGCCTGAACGAAGTTTAAGTCACATAAAAATGCCGCCAAAAACTGATTGTAGTTTCTTGTTCGGGACCCTTTGTTGACTTAAAAATGATATTTACCAAAGTTCTAGCTGCTCCTCTTTTCGAAATTGTTCGAAAATTCATGATTTTTTTTTAAATTTTAGTTTATCTCTTTGACAGAGTACACATTTGCACACGGATTTTTATAAAATTGGAGTATATTATTTAGGAGACTA